CAGAAAAGTTGCAAAAATTGTACATAGAGTTCCTGTGTACATGTTGCCCTGTTTCCCCTAACATTACATGACCATAGTACAATGATCAGAACCAGGAAATTAATATTGATACAGTGCCATTAACAAATCTGTATACTTTATTTGAATTACATTATTTTTCCCATCAATGTCTTTTTTCTCTTCAAAATCCATTGCATTTAGTTATCATATCTCTTTAGTCTCTTCCTATCTGGGACAGCTTCTCAGTCTCCTTTGTTCTTCCTGATCTTGATATATTTTTTAAAGATTTACTTATTTTTAGAGAGAGAGAGAGTATGCACAGGTAGGAGGGGCAGAGGGAGAAGGAGAGAGAATCTCAAGCAAACTCCACACTGAGCATGGAGCCCAATGTAGGGCTCGATCTGATGACTCTGAGATCACGACTTGAGTGGAAACCAAGAGTGAGATGCTTAATTGACTGCACCACCCAGGCGCCCCCATGATCTTGATATTTTTAAAGAATACTAGCCAGTTATTTTGTAGAATGGATTGTTTGGATTGTTCTGGTGTTTTCTCATGATGACATTGAGGTTATGTATTTTGGGCAGGATTGGTGTAGAATAATTTTGTGCCCTTTTCAGCCTTCATACCAGGGTACATGATATCAGTATGTCTTATTATAGGCACTGCTAACTTTGATCATATATTTAAAGTGGTGCATGCTAGGCTTCTCCACTATAAAATTATTGTTTTTGTCTTTGTAGTTAACTAATATCTTATTGAGAGCGATACTATGAGCCTAGACAAGTATCTTGTTTTTCATTATACTTTCATGTACTAATTTTAGCATACACTGGTGATTCTTGTCAATGTCATTATTACTTTTTTGTTTGCCTAATGGTGATTTTCTATTTCCATCATCCCTTCTATGCTTATTAATTATAATTTTACTGTAAGGAGAGGCTAACCCTCTCCATTTGTTTATTGATTCAACTATTTATTTATATCACTATGGATTTATAGATATTAATTTTATCCCATGTATCAAAATCCATCATCACTATTCATTTCTGTTGCTCATATTATCCAGATTTGGTCATTAAAAGCTCCTTCAAATTGGCCCCTGAGGTTTTTTTTGACATAGCTCTATCACTTTATGAACACTTCTTACCTTCTGGTACCACAAGATATTCTAGACTCATCTTTTATTTTCTTTGCTCCAGACTTTGAATCAACTATTTCTCCAAGGTGCCCTGGTTTCCCTTTATTGGATAATGATATTTAGAAACCAAGATTATATCCTAGGTGTGCTCAGTGCTATTGGGATGTCTTTCTTGTAGACTCTCCCTAAAGACAGAGCTAGAAAATATATGTATACTCATTGACACATATACACATTTATTTCTATATATAACTCTGTGTGTATGTATTAATATCTATGAGTAAATACCTCAAATTTTAATTAAACGTTGTAGGCATTTCTTAAGGGAGTCCTTGTAATCACTAAAGAAAAACATTGGAGATAAGTGCACTCTTTGGCTTAGAAATAATCTAACATTAAAATTCTCTTCATTCTTGACATTTTAATTTCCAGCACTCCTGATGAGTTTCTGATTCACAAAATCTCTCCTCTAAGTAGAGTATTACAAGAAGTGGATTTCTCAAGACAAAAACCATTCCAAAATGATTTCAGAGGGCTATCCAGCGTATCCTGATGGGTACTCATGCCTCTCTAATTCTCAGATGGAATAAGAATGTCCTGTATTAGGGTTGCAAGTGGTAGCTGCTCTTAAGTGGTCCAGCATTTTAGTAGATGTGTCTCTATCTTTAGATCATTAGTCTGACCTGTGTGCTCCTGGGACTTAAACTAGGGCATACTGGGTAGGTTATTTTTTAACCTTCCCAGAAAAGTATGTAAATGTGTTTAGAATCTCTCTGTTTCCCAGAACTCTGAATATGAAGAGATCTGAGCTTCCTAACAATCACAACAATTTCTCAGTGGCTTTCAAATCTTTGAGCTAGAAAGTATATAAGAAGACATGACATACAAAAACTCTATCAAAAGACAGCGGTGACTAGGTTTGAAATAATCTTTGCGTGTGAGGCAGGGAACTGCCTCAAGGACAGCTTATAACCTATGATTCAGCTGATTTTTACCTGAAACATATCTGTGTTTCAAAGATCTGGTTCTGCCCTTTGGGCCAAAGCTAAAGAAGGATTATAGTTGTGTTCCAGAAGACATGTATTAGTGGTCATTTCTAAGATTGCTAGCCTCAGCATCATCCAGGATAGGGGGTCAGGAGATGGCTTTTGTGGAATGGAGGAGTTAAAATAATCAAAGTAGTAGTATAAAGTTGATTTTGTCTTTGCTTGATAGACATTGTGTACCTGGTGGGTGCCAGGCACTGTGCTTGGTAGGTGAGGGTTTTAGAAAGGAAGGGGAGCTTTAAGGGAGGTTTTAGGAGTAGGATCTCATAATTCAGAAGTTAAGTGAGTGGAACTAAGCCTGAGGGTTTCAATAACGGAGAGAAGTAAATGACAATTTCTAGCAATGAGATGGAAAAAGGAAAGGGAAAATTTTTGAGACAAGGAATTCAGAAAGGGGCAACTGAGGATAATGTAAATTTCTGACCTGAGAAGGTGGTAGTGTTGGTTTCAAACATAAAATGGTGGGAAGCTACTCAGCCAGAGCTATTATTTAATCAATACATAAAATAGAATCAAAACTGACTTTTCCAATAAGCTTCCCTTGATGAATGCTTCATATTATAGAGTGTAGACTTCATTGTCTGCTCATCCCCTAAGAACTTATCAACACACTTTATTGTATGTTATTTGGTATCACTTTGCTTTGTAAATTCATGTCATTTCTAGCTTGTAATTATTTATTCTGCACCTACATCACATGGATCTATTAATATCTTCTTCTTCCAACACACAGAAAACCTTGCACCTTGCTGTGAACACAGTAGTTGAACAAAAACATGTGATATGAATGTTGAATGAAGATTAGAATAATTCATTAGTTTATGCTATTAAAAGTCAAAAGTGAAACCAAAAGTTGATTCATAGTTAAAAATCTGGTTTTCTTATTCATAAATGTAGAGTTTTACCATAAGGCTGATTAAAAACCAGTCTTCTGGTAGCTAGACTTACTGTGGTGATCCTTTTGCCGTGTATACAAATATGGAATCATGTTGTATGCCTGAAATGAATAGAATGTTGTATGTCAATTATACCTCAATAAAAATAATAATAACAAAAAATAAACAGAAGACACAAGACAAATAAATATATAACCAGTGGGAGAATATAAACAATAATTTAAAGATTTTGAAGGTCAAAGTATATAAGGTGGTATTGAATTGGCAAAAAACTTTGCAGGTAGCATTTGAGTTATTCAGAGAGCAGGAGTGGAGTGAGACAAGCAAGGTAGGAGGAGTTGGGCCCTCGGTATCATAAGGATACAGATGGGGTTTGGCAGCCATGAAGGGCAGGCTGGCCGAGAATACCAAGGGCAGTGACCATCAGTGGATTCTGATATAGAGGTTAAGTGCTAACCCTGGTAGGCAGCTAGAACCTTGTCAAAATAGTGAGCATGGAATGGCTATCACATGCAGTCTAAGAAAAACAGGGAAAATGCTGACATATGAATATGGTAGAGAAGCACAATGTACATAAAATCTAGACAAACAGCTCTGAAACTCCATGGTTCTGTGATTCTGTATCTGGGAAAATGTAAACCCCATCGACAGTGCATCTCCTAATAGAGAAATTTATGGGAGAATAAATGGGATAAGAAAGAGAAGCAAAAACAATCTTTTGAAATGTCACCAAACTAAAATCCTTAACAGATACAACACAATGAGGTATATCATTAAAATATATTCTTAACAGAATAAAAGCCTAGGATCCAAACATTGGTTGAAATCAAAGATGCTCTACCAGGGAGGCAGTGAATTAGGAGCTAGTCTCATCTGAAATTTGCTATCAGTGTTTCTTTGTTGAAGCCCAGAAGCCAGAGCAAATGGAGCTGATGGTGCAAGTTAGCACCATGGTTTTACACAGGATTCCAGAAAAGTAGGATTCTTAAGTGAGGAGAACTTTTTGAGTATAAACTTAAATATCCACTTTTGCCATAAGAGCGTTTCCACCATGTTACAAAGAGCACCATGGATGAAGATGTGTTGCAGCTCTGAACTTTTCCATTCTTTTTCTCTAATTCTTTACCAGGTGAAAGCTTTATGTTGGAATATATTGGGTCCTATCTTTAGCAAGTCGAATAGCTGTGTTTGAACTTATTTTTTATCGCACAGAGATGCTAAACCATCGTAATCGGACTTATGCCCCTTGCACAAAATAGGTAGCAATTGTATTTTGAATAACTTGCTGTAAACAAGAGGAGTTTTGTCTTGTATATCAAAGGTTTTGTAAGAGGCATTCTTCAGAACAGTATCCATTCCTGCTGGTTAGGGAATCCAAGGCAGGGCTTGCTGTTGGCTGATTGTGGCTGAGGTTACCTCGTAGTTGGGGCGGGCATGGTTTGTTCTTCCGAGCAAGTCAGAAAATGGACTGATTTTTGCAACTTGCTCAAGTCTATTTGAAAAAGGAAGTTGGACTATGGGAAGTCTTGTTTTGGTATGAAAACTTTGTCTGATTCTATTTACTTCTTGCTTGCATGGGAACTCCTAGCAATGCTTGGAGCATCTCACCTGCTGACTTGGATTGTGGGGCAGGAGACCATTTTAATGTGGAATGTTCTCTGGGATCTTGATGGTATGAGATAGCCCTTCTGGGCCTCTAGTTCCACTTCATTAAACTTGCATGATGTGACCCTTATGAGCCTTTCAGAAGTATTCAGGGACTAAATAACAAGGTCAGACCTTTTACCAAGAGAATTTCAGATTCTAGCCACAAAACCATTCTATGTGTCTCTTCCTGCTCTGCCTGTTGACATGTGGCCTCATGGTGTTCTTTGCCTCTGATGGCTGTTTCTCTCCCTCCCTCCTTCCCCTCTGCAGACATGCCTTGAATTGGAACGCTACCTACAGACGGAGCCTAGGAGGATCTCGGAGACCTTCGGTGAGGACTTGGACTGTTTCCTCCATGCTTCTCCTCCCCCGTGCATTGAGGAGAGCTTCCGGCGCTTGGACCCGCTGCTGCTCCCTGTGGAAGCCACCATCTGCGAGAAGAGCTCGGCAGTGGACATTCTTCTCTCTCGGGACAAGTTGCTATCTGAGACCTGCCTCAGCCTCCAGCCAACCAGCTCTTCTCTAGACAGCTACACAGCCGTCAACCAGGCCCAGCTCAACGCAGTGACCTCATTAACGCCCCCATCGTCCCCTGAGCTCAGCCGCCATCTGGTCAAAACCTCACAGACTCTCTCAGCCGTGGATGGCACGGTGACGTTGAAACTGGTGGCCAAGAAGGCTGCACTCGGCTCGGTCAAGGTGGGCGGGGTGGCCACGGCAGCGGCGGCCGTGGCGGCAGCTGGGACAGTTAAGAGCGGACAGAGCGACAGTGAGCAAGGAGGGGTGGGGGCCGAGGCATGCCCCGAAAACAAGAAGAGGGTTCACCGCTGTCAGTTTAACGGGTGCCGGAAAGTTTATACAAAAAGCTCCCACCTAAAGGCCCACCAGAGGACTCACACAGGTAGTGGTACAAGTTGGCCGCACGTGGTTTCTTCTTCTTCTCCTTCCTCCCTTAGGCTCGCGGTGGGAAGGGCTCCCGTGTCCCCAGGAGTGGCATCATGCTGACTCAGAGGTGGCAGCCAGACGGGAGGGCCGGGGCGGGGCAGTAGAGTGCCGCACGTGTGACCTTGAGCTCTGCAGATGTCCCCGGCACAGGCCGTGGGCTTGTCGCTCGCTGGCTGTGCGATCCTTTCGGAGGCAAGGCCAACCACAGGCTAGAATCACACAGTTCCAAGGAGGCCTGAATGAGGCTCTGGAAGTGTGACTCACAGCCGTACACTGTACACGCGCTTGTCACCTTCCTGACACTTTTCATTGTTTTACGAGTGTAGCTCTGTGGTTTTGAGCAACCCTGGAATCTGAGGAGGCACATTGGAAAGAATTCACAGTTAAACAAGGTAGTCGGGGTGTCCCTATTCACTCTTTTCCCAGCATCCCTGATTTTTCATCAAAGTCACCAACAGCAGGAGGGTTTCAGAGTTCATTAGATGTGATCATTCTATAATTAATTGGCATCTCCTCTTTTGCATTGTTCTCTGGCGCGTGCTTTATGGAGAGATGGCAGAATTGCTTTTTAATGAGCTTGTTACTGAGAAGTTGCTAAAGTGATTACATTGCTATGTGTGTGGGAAGGGCGAGTGGTAACCGACGGGGACTGTATATTTTACTCAAGACTTCTGCGGTGATCCCCAGGAATCATATTGATCTTTGGAGCAATGGGATTATTTGGAAGAGTGGGGTTTATAGAGAAAAGAGTGAGATTGGCATTTTCCTTGAAACTGGTCTTTGTCCTGTGCTTTGAGGTACTACAAGCTTAGGGCTGGTGTTTCTTCTTGGTGTTAGCATCCTAGGAGAAATCACCGCCATTGGTGGTTTTTAAACGAGTCCTGGCTTTGTCGCCTGAATGGTTTTGCATACTACTTGCACAGTATAGCTGAATTAGGGAAAACTCTGAAAGTATAAGCAGCAGAGTAGGAGTGCAGTCCGGGAGAAATGGGTGATTGGACTTGAGCCAGGAGAAGTGGCTGGTGGGAGTTGGTTTTGGTCTTGAGGCTCATCTTCCTGGTGCTCTGTGGTGAGTTTCTGTCTGGGCTAAGCAAGGAAATGTGCAGTGCAAAACTCATCTGCTGGAAAATCAGAAAAACCTGGGTTCTGGTTCTAACTCTGCCACTGACTAGCTCTGTGACCTTGAGAGTGTCCCTTTACCTTACTGCCTCATTTTCCATATCCGTCAAACAGACTGACTTAAGGTCCCTTTCGGCTCTAATGGTCTGGGGTGTGGGAGCATGAAATACTTTGTGTGATACAGAAGCACTTTCCTAAAGTAAGATTAATAATACGTGTCTAGAAGAAGTCACCATTTTGAACGTCAGAGTCAGTCCCATGCATGGGAGGACGAGAACACACTGCTTTCATGCTACAAAGGACTTAGGCAGATACTCCAATTCTGCACTTAACTTCCTATGTAGCTCTTGCTTGGTTCATGGGAAGGTCTCCTAACATGACTTTTGAACCCTGTGGCTCAAGTGCAGAGTCCCAGTTAGGGTTTCCCAAGAGTCTGAGTGCTCCACCCCACAGACACCAAGGCTAAGACTTCCTGCTCAAGTCAGCTTTTTTTTTTCCTTTCTGATATTGTCCTGAAGGTCATTTTTTATTTATATTTCTTTCTTTCTCAAGTCAATGAGTAAAGTCATGACAAGACATTGCAGTGCTCCCAGGCTTTGATGGTGACTCACTTCCCGTTCTCCCCAGGAAACCAGAGAAAGCGGAATGGAGCAAGAATGTTGAGCTTTGTTGGGGGCGTGGAAGTCATGATTATGGACACATTTCTGAATTACTGACACGAAGACAGGCTACATCCTGTCTAGTAGGAAGACTGGACAGCTCTGGGGAAGCAAGATTCTTTTTTTTAAGGGGGAGTCCAGAGCATTTTTCTTCTTTTTCCTATCCCCTTCTCCCAACTGATGTGTCAGAAGGAGACCTCTTTAGGAGTGATGCCTTATTTGGTGCTTTGTTTTTTGGGCATGGTCTACTCAGAGTGATTATCAAGGTGGAGCTCATTATGTTCCCCAGCACCTGCAACCACTTGCCTTATGGTGGACTGATGTGGAAAGACTCCTCCCCATGGGGAATTTACTCAAGGAGGCACCCTGCAGTATTGAAAGGCAGTGTTGCAGAGTGGTTGAGAGTGGGGGCTTTGTAGTAGGTGGACTTCGGTCTGAGTTCTGGCTCTACTCCTTCTTAGATTTGTGACCTGGTTAAGTGATTTATCTTCCCTGAGTCTCAGCTTAGTCATTTGTAAAATATAGGGATAATTTTATCTATATCCTAGATTGTTTTGAAGCCTAAATGAATCAATATATGTAAAATACTTGGCAGATTGTAAGAGCTCACTGAAGATAGTAGTGGAGTTGGTTTGTAGTTATTAGAATGGATATTGATATTGATTAGTGATGACTGTGTGAAAAAACAGCTCTATGTAAGCTAGAAATAAGGCAGTTAGCCAAAGTTAAATACCCTCAAAAAGCGAGAAGCTTTTTCCTCCCTCTTTGTGGGGGTTATGATGCTCAGGGACACCAGTTGTGGAGAGTGCATCTGGACGTGCAGGCATTGGCTTATTGAAGGTGGCAGCACTGTAGAGCTTGGCTTTCCTAAGACAATACAGAAAGCAATCACCTTGCATCCTCCAGAAGCATTTTGCCTGTAAAACCTTGCTCAGAGATAAGGATGGAAGGAAGATTTGGTGCTATAAGAAAGAGAAGCAGGAGGGGAGCTAGAGGTGAGGGTGGAGGACGGGGAGAGGGAATATGAATTAATTTGGATTAAATGGATGAGAATCAGAAGTATTTATTTGGAATTGGTGTGAATGGGGCACATGGGGAACTGAAAACAAAGGTGATAATTTATGTGGTGTGGATGAACTAAGAATAATGAAAAAAGCATGAAGGATGGAATCAAATTAAGTGTAAACATATAAAGGCAATGGACTAGTAAAAGCTTGAGGGCAAAGGTATATGGCGGTGGGAATTCTGGTTGGGGGAGTGGCTAATATAAGTGAGTGGAGGGGCAGAGCTGCCCACCAAATGTTGAAATGGAGTTTAAAAAGGCTCTGGTTGGATCCAGGCAAGTTATTTTAACACTGGGCTCACTTTAATTCAGTGGAAATATTTCTTTATCTTTCAGTTGGGGGAGTGTTTGGGGCCAGGAAAAAAAAAAAAGAAGAAGAAGAAGATGAGAAAACCATCGGGTAAAAAGAGGGAAAATATTGGCATTCTTTTCTCTAGAGTCATATATATGCTCTATCTCTTCTATATGGTAATATGTTGAAAAGGAGACACAGTTGCAAAAATGAAATAAAATAAAATGTGTGGGTCTCCCTCTATGCATAAGAAAGACAATACATCCTTGGTAACATGGATTTGCTTGCACTGAAGAATTTTTAAAATGTTATTCATTTAATCTTTATATAGACAGAATTTACTGAGCTGGAAAAGATATGCTTTTTTTTTTTTTTTTTTTTTTTTTTTCCTCCTTCTGTGGCTGTTCTTTTGAGGATGCTTAATCCTTCAAACTTTTTGCCCTGGAGGATGTTAGGCAATGAGGTGATTTTTTTTTTTTTTTTTTTTTTTAAGGTAGCAGATGTTCAAGTTGGTAGCTAGGGCACAAATACTGTTTGCCCAAGGAGGTGAAGTTGGGGATGGGGGAACCGAGGGAGGGGGGAGATGAGGCAGGGACTGGGACAAAGGGAATATTGTGAAGCCACAAGATCTTAGTGAAAGGAAGCATAGAAAAATGGACATATGGTTTATTCATTGCGAAGAGCACTTAGTGCTGGCATGTGCGTAAAAATGTCCTTTAGCAGCCAAACCATTACAGACCTTTCTCTCCCACTCTGTTTTCTGGTCTTTGTGTAACATTATTTTTCTTGCCCAATAATTCAATCATTATGATCACAGGTTTATTCATCTTCTTGGAGTCAGCTAAATAATCCTTATATTTTGATACAAAGGAAATCTTCACTTTCAATTTAAAAAATCACTTTACTATGCTTGTGTTCAGCAAAAGTCAATTTATTGAAATATTAGTAGTTTCTACACAAAAAGAGAAAGAAAGAAGTGTTTTCTACATTTCTTCTTGATCACTTCTAAGGAAGAAAAAAAGCCTGTGACTGAAATGGCACTTTGTGTTTAATTGAGCCGACTTTTCTAATATGGAAATTCATATAAAAGCATGTCCACATTTATACTTTTCAGAGTGAGTCGTGTTGATAAAGTCAGGACAAAGGCCAGCAATGAAATCTTTGGTAGTTGGTCACCAAGGAGGGAGAAAAGAGGCCATGTTCTCACATGTCCTACTTGGAGGAGTCTTTCTATGGCCGGGGTTGTTTTAGCGTAGTCCATGGGTGTGGGTAAGGACATTCTGGATTTTGCATCAACGAATGTAAAGGGATGCTTTTTAGGTGGAAAGATTACACAAGTGTGCAATTTGCTTAACAGTTTATGTCTGCTGTGGGGCAGGTCTTGAGGTGGCACCATTTTTAAGTTTAACTCAGATTTAGGGAAATAGTTTGTTTTCAAATGAAAAGGTAGCTAAAAATATTATAAATAAAAAGATGAGTGTCATGTTTAAAAGGCAAGTAGAAGTGTTTATTTTATACACATAATGAAAGTTCTTTAAAGTTTGAAATATAATTTATTTATTCAACAAAGATGAAGCAGTTGCTACGTGCTAGGCATTGTTCTAAGTCTTTTACAAATATTAACCTTTTTAATCTAATGACGTAGGTAGTATTCTTATTTTATAGTTATGAAGGAATGAGGCCCAGAGAGGTCAATAACTTGCCCAATGTCACACAGCTTCTAGGTGGCTGGGCCAGGATTCAAACCAAACAGTATTGCTCAAGTCTGAGCTCTTAACTTCTATGCTAACGAACAAGGGGAGAAGAAATCAAGTAGATATTCTCTT